ATTGGAAAACAATGTAGGCTAATCGGTCATAGCCTACAACGGCCAGATATATAATAGGCCTATAGCTTAGAAACCATGTTGATTCGGCCTCGTTATAGAATAGGTTACATTGATTTGTATAAGACTACTGTAAACCATTTCCAGCAACAAGTATTTTGATGCATAGCCTAAGTTGGATTCCCAACATTGAAATAATAAAAAAAGCCTCTCAAAAGATGTGAAAGCAAAGCGAGCCTAAACGTTCGTTCATTCTATAATAATATCCTTGGATGGTAATTGTGTCAGTGCAGTGGGTTCGCGCGCTGTCGAAACGACCAACAAGGGGTAAAAAAAAGCCCCACAGGTAGCCCACAATACTGTAGTTCCCCCAATTTGTGGTCTCGTCTGTTGCCAGCTGAAAGTTTTGGAAGAGACCAATGCTTGAAGCGACCCCCTGCTCCTCCTTTGACAGCTGATCAAAAGGGAAATAGGTCACGGTTTTCAGACTTCTGTCCCTCTTCCTTAATTACAGTGTCTTCAAACAAAAGCAACATCTGCGCAACTTCCAAACAAAATATCAGGCTCCCGACCCAAAGCAACCGCGGCTTCCGAGAAATCTGTTGCTTTTAAAGCTGTTCTGTTTAAACCAAATGTGACCAATGCTGTTTCTTTGTGCCGTCTCTCTCCGTGCTCTAAAATACCTTTCTGTGTCCCCTAATGGAGATATGAAGGAGAGTCTGAGGAGCGGAGTGGCGAAAGAGATTTATACTTTTCAATTCACAATAAAACCTCGACTTACCTTTCTTTGTGGCTGGCAAAGACACATTCTTTGTCTGCAGCTCAAATTGACCGTAAATATCACAGTAGCCACTAGCCAGTAAGCACAAACTATTCAACAATGACAGAAACTTTTCTTCTAAAACATATTATACTATTGAATAATGCAACAATTCACAAGCACGTGCAGACAATTAAAGGGTTAATTTTCTCGTCTGTAGGATACACTCCTTACATTTTAGCTTCAAGACAAAAGCGCAGCGTTGCTAACAGCATCTTCATCAAGTAACATTAGCCTATAAAAAATTAACGATTAACCCTCTCATACGAATATTAAAGTACAGTAGACCTACCCTACAACATTACAGCAAACCCGACTTCATTTTTATCAATATCATGCAAATCATTACATGTGGTAAAAGCAAATTGTGACAGAAAACGTGGGTATAAGTGAATTCACTGCGGATTTGCGACAGGCTGTTTTATATGGAAGCTATACCCACCACCAAAAATGATTTGTCAAAGTGCTTCAGCCTGATCAACTGTAGCCTACTGATAACACAGCTGCAGGTAGCCTACTGATAACAAACACAGTTGCAGGTAGCCTACTGATAACAAACACAGTTGCAGGTAGCCTACTGATAACAAACACAGCTGCAGGTAGCCTACTGACAACAAACACAGTTGCAGGTAGCCTACTGATAACAAACACAGCTGCAGGTAGCCTACTGATAACAAACACAGCTGCAGGTAGCCTACTGATAACAAACACAGTTGCAGGTAGCCTACTGATAACAAACACAGCTGCAGGTAGCCTACTGATAACAAACACAGCTGCAGGTAGCCTACTGATAACAAACACAGCTGCAGGTAGCCTACTGATAACAAACACAGCTGCAGGTAGCCTACTGATAACAAACACAGCTGCAGGTAGCCTACTGATAGCAAACACAGTTGCAGGTAGCCTACTGATAACAAACACAGCTGCAGGTAGCCTACTGATAACAAACACAGCTGCAGGTAGCCTACTGATAACAAACACAGCTGCAGGTAGCCTACTGATAACAAACACCGCTGCAGGTAGCCTACTGATAACAAACACAGTTGCAGGTAGCCTACTGATAACACAGTTGCAGGTAGCCTACTGATAACAAACACAGCTGCAGGTAGCCTACTGATAACACAGTTGCAGGTAGCCTACTGATAACACAGTTGCAGGTAGCCTACTGATAACAAACACAGCTGCAGGTAGCCTACTGATAACAAACACAGCTGCAGGTAGCCTACTGATAACAAACACAGCTGCAGGTAGCCTACTGATAACAAACACAGTTGCAGGTAGCCTACTGATAACACAGTTGCAGGTAGCCTACTGATAACAAACACAGCTGCAGGTAGCCTACTGATAACACAGCTGCAGGTAGCCTACTGATAACAAACACAGTTGCAGGTAGCCTACTGATAACAAACACAGCTGCAGGTAGCCTAGAGCAGCCTATGCTCTCTGATCCCATCTGGGCCTGGGGAAAGCTATGTATTTATAGCCCAAAATAGGCCCATTTATTTGTGTTCTGAGAAAATGCAAATGTCATCAAATTTGGTTTATATTCAACCTTCAGGTGGTTAGACTACCTGGGCCTTTTTAATCCAAACTGATTGACTGGAATTAATCAATCAACACAATAATGATGACATACTGTCTGAGTATCTTTAAATTACAGACTCAAAGGCCCTCACCCTGCAACCTTGCATACAGTTAGCTCAGCCCTGTTCGTTTTGGTCCAATCGCGGTTGTTGTCTCTTTGTCTGTGTAAAGGGTTTGTGTTCATCCTCCCTAGGGCCAGGAGTTCTTTCAGGAGTTGGAAAAAAAACATATGACCTGATTAGAAAATGAATCTGGTCCCATCGTAGCCCATATAAAACCTTTTTTTTTTTTATATAGCTGATTTATTACTATGTCTTACGCTACAACTAGGGCCCTGAGTTGGTTAGGTTAGCCCACTAGTACCACCAGGTAAAACTCTTGGCCCCAGGAAAACAATTTACCCCCCCCCCCCCCCCCCCCCCACACACACACACACACTCTGGGACCTGTGGTGCCTCCTCTGAAATCATCACACAGTGTTTCAAATGAAAAAAAATATATCCTATTTGTATGATCTACATTTTACATGTTTTTGGTGGTGGGGATGAGCTTCCATAGTTTCACGTGGCTCAGTGCAGCCGGCAGCTACTGCTACATTTTCAGAATGTAACAGGCTGTTACTGCAAGTTCAGGTAAAAACTAAACTAAATAAAGAGCTTCAAGGGGAGCAACTGTCAAGCGAGTGTCATTTGAGACAGCAAGTTTACATTTGAGTAATATCTGTAGCCAACGTTTTTTTATTTAATTTTTTTTTACAAAAGGTGTGGTAAGTGTGACACTTACAATTATGAATTTAGACCTCATACTGAGTGGTACAAGGAGAAGGGGGATACCTAGTCAGTTGTACAACTGAATACATTCAACTGAAATGTGTCTTCCGCATTTAACCCAACCCCTCTGAATCAGAGAGGTGCTGCCTTAATCGACATCCACGTAATCGGCGCAGTTAACAGTGGGTTAACTGCCTTGCTCAGGGGCAGGACGACAGATTTTTACATTATCAACCTTTAGGTTACTGGCCAAAGCATCTACCAGCCAGGCTACCTGCCGCCCTTAACTGCTGCTTCGACAGACCGAAGATGCGGAGAATCGGAAAGTAGGGTTAATCTTGAGAAGCCTGGGTATGATGGAGAAGAGAGCACACGGAAAGCGGGAGAGAGATCATTTATCATAAGGGATGAACTCATATTCTCATGTATGAATAACACAACTCATATATCCTGAAAAATATCATAATTGTTATATTTCTGACTCAGATCTACTTCTCTGTTTGTGTGTGTGTGAGAGAGAGAGAGAGAGAGAGAGAGAGAGAGAGAGAGAGAGAGAGAGAGAGAGAGAGAGAGAGAGAGAGAGAGAGAGAGAGAGACCAGACTGCCTAAGATCATTTGGTCTAGTTTTCAGTGATTGACACTTAGTGAAATGTGAACAGAAGGCTACCTGCACTTTGTTTGAGCACGTTACTCTTGTTAAGTCATAACATGACAATTACAGTCACTATGTTGTATTGCTCACTCGTATATTTAGTAAAATTGGCAAAGCAGGAGGAATGTGGACATGATGATGACTATAGCTCTACAAAGATTACTTATTTTGTTTATTTATATAGGCCTGACCTAACTTGTCCTTATGTTATTTTTGTACTACATTGATATTGACTAATACATTGTTGGGTTTAGAGCTCGCAAGAAAGGCAGTTCTTTGCGCACCTGACATTAAAACATGAAACACCATACACCAACCTGTGGTGGCATGTAGCCTAGTGTTTAGCGTGTTGGGCCAGTAACCAAGATGTTGCTAGTTCGAATCCCCGAGCTGACAAGGCACTTAACGCTAATTGGGTTTATAATGGCTGGCCATGACCCCACTCCAAGGGGGCGTTTGGGATATGCAAAATAACACATATCACATGAAAAAGGACAATTATAAGCGCCCACAGACTTACTATTATACATGAATATCCAGATCATTGAATAATAATAGTTCAATGTATTAATCTAATTCTGCAACCACTGGTCAGTAGCCAATTCTAAATTATGTTTCAAATACGTATGGCCCAATGTTGACCATATGCCTATTTAGCCCATGTTATCAATAAAGTCTCTCACTGTTCATGAGTGAAACTGAAAATGGTGTCTTGTGAAACTATTCCAGCAGAGGAAGTTGAGAAGATATTCAGACTTTCTGACATTAGACTCCAGAGATGCGTATAAATCTCTACCAACCCTTATTTCTGACTGGTGCTCTATCCGTAAACATGAATATGGGAGAGGCAGCCAATGAAATGCCTTTGTTTGAACCAAGGAGCGACTGTGGGTGGTCATATCAGCCGTCCGTAACTGGGAGTCCCCTCCCCCGCCTGCGAGTTAGGCTGTCCGTTCAGCAAGCCCATCCTGGACAGCTCCACCGGCCTAAACATAATACGTAGGAGGAGGAGAGGCTCGGACATGGATTTAGGAAGACTCAGCACTGGCCCGTCTGATAGAGATCGGTAATTTTTTAACATTAAAAAACCCCGAGAGGCCTTAGAGAAAACAAACCGAAGGAAATACCCATCGCGGCACAAACCATTAAATAGATCAATGGACTGAATGAGGGCTGAATGAAGACTGCCTATAACGCCTATCGATGCCTGGCCAAGGATCTGGAAGCTTACGGCATGAACCCAGAGATGACAATGGACAGCATTGGCAATCTGCATGGCGGACTGAGCCATGACCAGGACTTGATGAACAGCCACAGCCCCCATCACAATCGGAACGCGGGGGCTTCTTTGCGGTTACATCAGGATCTGGCAGCGGCATCGTCGCGGTCCTCCATGGTGTCCAGCATGGCAACGATTCTGGACGGATCCGGAGACTATCGACAAGAATTGTCGCACCCGCTCCATCACGCTATGAGCATGCCGTGTGATACGTCCCCACCCGGGATGGGCATGAACGGCACATACACCACGTTAACTCCACTTCAACCCTTACCCCCCATTTCAACCGTTTCGGACAAATTCCACCATCCGCATCACCACCACCACCACCACCACCACCAGCGTCTCTCTGGGAACGTAAGCGGGAGTTTCACGCTGATGCGGGACGAGAGGGGTTTACCAGCAATGAACAACATCTACAGTCCATATCATAAGGACATGACCGGGATGGGTCAGAGCTTATCCCCCCTGGCCAGCAGCCCTCTTGGCAATGGCTTGGGTTCCATTCATAATACCCAGCAAAGCCTCCACAACTATGGCACACATGGGCACGACAAGATGCTAAGCTCCAACTTCGATGCCCACACTGCCATGCTAGCCAGGGGAGATCAACACCTCTCACGAGGCCTCGGTGGACCCACGGCAGGTATGATGCCGCATTTGAACGGGATGCACCACAGCGGGCACCCGGGCCACTCTCAATCCCACGGGCCTGTGTTGGCTTCCAACCGGGACAGACCGCCCTCCTCCTCGGGACAACAAGGTAACAACTCGGGGCAGCTTGAAGAGATCAACACCAAAGAAGTGGCACAAAGGATCACAGCCGAACTGAAGCGGTATAGCATCCCCCAGGCTATATTCGCCCAGAGGGTGCTGTGTCGCTCGCAAGGCACCCTTTCAGACCTCTTAAGGAACCCCAAACCTTGGAGTAAACTTAAATCTGGAAGGGAGACCTTTCGAAGGATGTGGAAGTGGCTGCAGGAACCCGAGTTTCAGAGGATGTCGGCCCTACGGCTTGCAGGTAAGACAAGGTATCCTCAATAAAAACCGATCCGTCTCTGCTGCTGTTTGCTGCCTGTCTGCCTGCCTTCCTCTGCTCGTAGTCAGGCAATAGCCCTGCACTAAAACACAGTTCAGAATCTATCTATCTATCTATCTATCTATCTATCTATCTATCTATCTATCTATCTATCTATCTATCTATCTATCTATCTATCTATCTATCTATCTATCTATCTATCTATCTATCTATCTATCTATCTATCTATCTATCTATCTATCTATCTGTCTATATATATATCTATATATCTATCTATATATCTATCTATACCTCTCGCTGCAGAGTAGACTAGATGAATGACATTTATTTCAAATTACAGTAGTAATATTGTTATTATTGATCCATAATAACAATTGACCAAAAATCAAATCAAATCAAAATCAAATCAAATCGATATCAATGACAAGGTCAAAGGATTTCTCTCTCGAATATTATCCATTTAATAATAGGCTATTTATGTTATGGCTATTCTAGGGTATAACCCTACCCTTTTAGTGACGAGCAAGTTCTTCTGATGAAATGTCATGTGTGGCTATATTTTAATGTTTATATGAGATTATTATAAGCAGATAGATAGGACCCCCAGCTTTTAAAAATGTGCTGCATTGAAAACAGCACCAGCCCCTAATAAAAAAAAATCCCCTGAAAAATGTAATAATTATAGACAATTTTGCCGTTTGTTGTTATGGGGAGGCCTATCAATTCTTTATATATATATATATATATATATATATATATATATATATATATATATATATATATATATATATATATATATATATATATATATATATTATATTTATGTTTTATTGAATAGACATATTTACACCTGGAGTAGGCAGGTTATTAATGCAGCCTAAGGAATATTGTGCAAATGCATTGCTTGGACTTTTTCTGTGCGTGTTCCCTCATTGAGGCGAGAGACAGAGACAGAGACAGAGACAGAGACAGACAGAGAATGCTGTTGATTGTGATGAGATTTTTCCAATCAAAGCCTGGGATGCGTTGAAAAGCGGGTAAATACATGCATGGTCGCCCTATAGTAAGGCTGGTGCCCCCTCTAGCGAGAACACGTAGAACGACTAGACCGGCTTTCTTTTGTTCCGTCAAAGCGAAATAAATGTACCCTCTCTACAGTTGGTTCCCTTTCAGAATTGATTGTGGATTGTATTTAATGAGGTTTCTCGTTTTCTTTTAGTTCACTGTTATCACGATCGTCCCAAAAAAATATTAATAAACTAGTCATTTTAAGCAAACAAACATTGCCTATTAGTAAAGGCAATTTATTTTTCACAGATGAATATAACTCGATATGGGCTATCCTGAATGTAAACTATTACAGGCGTGTAGGCTGTACATTTATGGTCATTAAGTATAGTGTGGAAAGTCGACTGTTTTGTCTAAATCGAAGGGGATATTGCCTGATTGAGATGAGGTTTGGAAAGGAAGACAGACCCGTTGCGAATAGTGGATCAATATTTCAAATTCTGCGCATTTTCTAAAAGGGCACGATCGCTGTACTGTAACACCAAAACAACTACACCATCAGATGTCATTTATATATAAAATAGGCCTACGTAATGTATTGATCAAAGGGGTAATAATAACATTTGAGGAGGCTTTAATGCAATGACTAATATTGTACGGATGGAAAGATATTGGCTTGCTCCATATCATAATCTGTAACATATTTTTCCTTCTATGATCAGTTAAATGCCATGACTTCATGCAGCGAACGTTGAAAGGCCTTTTTTTAATATTCACATTAGTTATGGAACGATTGTAAACAAAATTGACAGCATGAAAACATCACCAAATATAGCCTATATCATTGGTAGCCTACATTATTATTATTATTTTTTAAATGATAGGGGGGAAAAGGCGTTGCAGACTTCCCTTCTTCCCCGCAGCAGCATCATTAGTTTCCAGAAAGCGGTAACTCTGCGGCCAGGCAGCTCAGGGCTTTGGGGGAAGGTATTATGTGATCGGCTCGGCGCGAGGCAGCAGCCAGGGAATTGAAAAGAAGAACAGAAGCTGCAGCGCGCGCGGCTCAATGAATTATTGATATAAATCTCGGCGTGACCCACAGCTCGAGCACAAAACGTCACCTTGTCGCGTTAACCAGCTAGGCGAAATGTGGAGCAGGGCGCGAGGCTTTTGTTCGCAGTTCGTTGTGCAGAATCAGCGGGTGTAATAGAACAATTACTTCAATAAATATCACGGATTGAAAATGCTAACGTTAAATCATAGGATTATGTCAAAGATGTGGTTGTAATGCAATTTGATTCGTAAATGCGGAATGTTTTTTCTCTCTCCAATTAATCACCTTATGTAAAGTAGGCCTAAATAAATATAGGTTTATAGGCTCATCAATAGTCAATCAATAGTCAATTGGCCTTTAGGCAATAACCACCATTGCAGTAGCTGTTGGTCATTGGCCTATAACCTATATCCTACTAATTATTTAATACAACAGCTTCTACGCAGAGAATATAACTGGTGCCCTTTCGCTGCATAGTTTCAGCGGGGAAAATGGCCTTGTCCCAGCTTGAATAGTTTAGTCAAATCAAACGTGACACTTGACTCAAACTTATTCCACCTGCACTCGACACTGCTGCGTGTAATCAGGCTGTCCTGGTCCTGGCTGACACCTCCATGTGCGGTCCACGGACCCGACAACATTCCCTGTTACAGCTAGCCTAGCCGACATCATTGATATGCGGTTTACAGTCCAGCTGAAATAACTTGACCAAATAAATAAATCACAGGGGACACGCGTCATGATAGAATTCTGGACGGTTGAGATTGAACAGGTAAACGTTATTAGGCCTATGCATAATTAACGAATGAGTGGATATATGCAAAAATAAACAAATAAATAGGCCTGTAAACAAATAAGAAATCAAAATTGGATAATAAATGCACCCTTAACTATAGACGATCGAAAAAAAAAAAAAACGTAGGCCTATATTGCTTTTATTTCGAAAATAAAATAATGAAAATCCTTTTAAATGAACCATTGTGTTTGTTATGTCTAAATTATGCCGATTTAACACTGTAATCATTCCTACATAGAAACATACACTCCAATACCTCTACCTCTTGTGAAATGAGAAGCATATAGGCCGACTGTATTTTTCAAAATATTCCTCTGGCGTCACTGAAATTAGACCCAAGCTAAAATAGGCCTTTGAAAAAGGCAAATATTCTAAATCAAATTTAACATGAAATTACGTTGTAGGAAAATGATGTTCATGTGATGTACTTGGGCACAGTAAAAAAAAAAAGAAAAAAAAAAAGGGGAAACATGACTAAAGAAAACACACGGGACATTTTGTTTATTGTCGCTCCTGCCTGCCGTTCTTTCAGTTGTTCAGTTGTCACTTTTTTCAAACAAATCTGTTAGGGCGGTACGGATGTGGATCGATGGCGATAATCTCCACAAGATTAAAAGGGAATTAATTCTGGCAACAATAACATAAACGTGTGGACCCAGTTCGCATTGATCAGCTGAACCCGATACGGAGCCGTTCCGGTAAAGCCGATGACGCAGGCGGGGTTTTACCTTCTTCCCAGCACTGGACCCACAGTATATCTCTGATGCCCTCTCGCTCACAACGCCCACATCAACCGTCTCAGACCAAAGACTGCCCTGTTTTGTTGACTTGACACTACAGTTTGAGAAAGATTGAACTGAGACGTGTCTTGAGAGTATTATTTATTGCAGCCTAAAATGAAATGATTTAAATGTGATTTTCCAGGTATTTGAGGCATAAATTGAGAGTGGCAGTGTGTGGTGTTCTAGGTCTAGCCTAACTGTCAGTTAGCCTTGATGTTTGAAGCACAGCTGTCATCCAGAAATTATTGATCTATTAAAAGTCAACATGATCTTGTGCTTCATTGATTTAGAATTTTTAAAATGTACCTTGAAGAATGAAGTATACCTTATTCTAAAATGTATAAAATAAATGTTTTCACTCATCGATCTTATTATTATTATTTTTTCTTTAACCTTCATTTAATTAGGCAAGTCAGTTAAGAACATATTCTTATTTACAATGATGGCCTACCAAAAGGCAAAAGGCCTCCTGCGGTGACGGGGGCTGGGATTAAAAATAAAAATATAGGACAAAACACACATCATGACAAGAGAGACACCACAACACTACATAAAGAGAGACCTAAGACAACAACATAGCATGGCAGCAACACATGACAACACAGCATGGTAGCAACACAACATGGCAGCAGCACAACATGGTAACAGCACAAAACATGGTACAAACATTATTGGGCACAGACAACAACACAAAGGCAAGAAGGTAGAGACAACAATACCCCATAATGACAAAGCGAAAACAGTTTTTTAGATTTTTTGGGAAAATGTCTTAAAAATAAAAAACTGAAATACCTTATTAACATAAGTATTCAGATCCTTTGCTATGAGACTCGAAATTGAGCTCAGGTGCATCCTGTTTCCATTGATCATCCTTGAGATGTTTCTACAACTTGATTGGAGTCCACCTGTGGTAATTTGGAAAGGCACACACCTGTCTATATAAGGTCCCACAGTTGATAGTGAATGTCAGAGCAAAAACCAAGCCATGAGGTCGAAGGAATTGTCCGTAGCGCTCCGAGAAAGGATTGTGTCGAGGCACAGATCAGGGAATGGTACCAAAAAATGTCTGCAGCATTGAAGGTCCCCAAGAACACAGTGGCCTCCATCATTCTTAAATGGAAGAAGTTTGGAACCACCAAGACTCTTCCTAGAACTGGCCGCCCGGCCAAACTGAGCAATCGGGGAGAAGGACCTTGGTCAGGGAGGTGACCAAGAACCTGATGGTCACTCTGACAGAGCTCCAGAGTTCCTCTGTGGAGATTGGAGAACCTTCCAGAAGGACAACCATCTCTGCAGCACTCCATCAATCAGGCCTTTATGGTAGAGTGGCCAGACAGGAAGCCACTCCTCAGTAAAAGACACATGACAGCCCGTTTGGAGTTTGCCAAAAGGCACCTAAAGGACTCTCAGACCATAATAAACAAGATTCTCTGGTCTGATGAAACCAAGATTGATCTCTTTGGCCTGAATGCCAACAGTCACGTCTGGAGGAAACCTGGCACCATCCCTACGGTGAAGCATGGTGGTGGCTTCATCATGCTGTGGGGATGTTTTTTAGTGGCAGGGATTGGGAGACTAGTCAGGAGATGAACGGAGCAAAGTACAGAGAGATCCTTGATGAAAACCTGCTCCAAAGCGCTCAGGACCTCAGACTGGGGCAAAGTTTCACCTTCCAACAGGACAATGCTGGAGTGGCTTAGGGAGAAATCTCTGAATGTCCTTGAGTGGCCCAGCCAGAGCCCTGACTTGAACCCGATCTAACATATCTGGAGAGACCTGAAAATAGCTGTGCAGCGACACTCCCCATCCAACCTGACAGAGCTTGAGAGGATCTGCAGAGAAGAATGGGAGAAACTCCCCAAATACAGGTGTGCCAAGCTTGTACCCAAGATAACTTGAGGCTGTAATTGCTGCCAAAGGCGCTTCAACGAAAGTACTGAGTAAAGGGGCTGAATACTTATGTAAATGTATTATTTCATTATTTTGATGTTTAATAAATGTGCAAAAAATTATAAAAACCTGTCTTTGCTTTGTCATTATGGGGTATTGTGTGTAGATTAATGAGGAATATTTTTTATTTAATCCCATTTTAGAATAAGGCTGTAACGTAACAAAATGTGGAAAATGTCAAGGGGTCTGAACACTTTCCCGAATGCACAATGTGTGGTGTCTATCTCATGTACACTGAAGTGGTACCCTAATAATGGTATTTCAAATGGGAAGGAGAAATGCAGTGTGTAAGTTCGTGTGTATGTATCCTAATGTTGTAGTCGGCTAAAGCACACAGCGGTCTAGAGAACAGATCACCACACCAAGCCTTTTCCCTGTGTGCCTCCTCCCTTACAGGTGCCAGTAGAGAGCACTCCGTGATTGGGTCAAATGGGATGCACTGTCAGACACTGACAACATTGTGCACAGGGACCCAAAACTATGGTATGTCAAAAAAACAAAACAAAACAAAACAAACAATAACATGTAGTAATGCTCAACAGATACAAATATTCCTTAGTGTGATGTGTAGTTAGTAGATGTGTATTTAGAGGGAAATCCTTTACCTTAATGGATTGAAATAGGATTATTGGATTAATATTAGACTGGATATATTCACTATTGGATTAAATGTGATATTGGATTGGAGAAATCCAATTGTGGATAATAGTCTTTAATCTGTGGTTTAATTAAAGTAGGCCTACTTATGTGAATAGTAAGTAACATTGTGATGGAAACACACCATTACCCCAGACATTTACCAGTTTAAAATGATGAAAGGTTGTTTAGAAAAGTAAAGAGATTGTTTAGTGTTTTGGTTTCTTTGTCAGGAGGTAGGTTGAAGTGTGCATGGGTTCTTTGACAGTGCTACATTATCCAGTGAGTTTATAAATTCACGTGGCTTTGTGACAGTGCTACATTATTCAGTGAGTTTATAAATTCACGTGGCTTTGTGACAGTGCTACATTATTCAGTGAGTTTATAAATTCATGTTGCTTTGTGACAGTGCTACATTATTCAGTGAGTTTATAAGTTCATGTTGCTTTGTGACAGTGCTACATTATCCAGTGAGTTGATAAGTTCATGTTGCTTTGTGACAGTGCTACATTATCCAGTGAGTTGATGAGTTCATGTGCTTTGTGACAGTGCTACCTTATCCAGAGGTTGATAAGTCATGTTGACTGTGACAGTGCTACTTACCGAGTTGT